CACATGGCTAGAATAGCAGAGTCAGTTTCCCTTCTCTTACAGCATGTTGCCGTAGAAATATGAACAGGACAGATTTGGGTCATTTTTCACAAACGGGGATTATCACAGCATAGCTAATAAAGGTTCCAGAGACTCATTTCTCAACCCATGCAGTACAAGATGATTTTTAAATGCCCTCAGGGCCTCTCCAAGCACATCACTCCCAACTCTCTCACCTGCTCTCTGAAGCTTGAAATTTCTTTAGCTGGGGACTAATACTACCACACAAAAATGAAAATACACTACTTTAAGATATTCCCCAAATGCAGACACTCTTGGGGGAAGTAGCCTACTGACTTAATGTTTCTCCAAGATCTAAGTAACTGTCTTCAGATCTTTTCCTTAGAGTAGATTGTAAGTGAGAGCACTGGTTACCTGAAAGAGGGGCCGGTCTATCTAAAGAAGTCATTGTTTGCCTAGACTTTTGTCCAGGACACTGCCCTGTCCAGTGCCATGGGAGACATTAAGGACCACAGAAAACCTTGCCCTCTGTGTTTCATTCTGTCTTCTGAAGTGACAAGACTATTCACAGAAACATGGAGACAAATCCAGCAACAAGACTCCTGTTTCTATCTGTAGAGCTTTTCAGGGCCTCTGTCAGAGTGTGGATATTTCTCATCCCAGCTTACTGCTACTAGGTATATCTCTTATCCTGGTGAAAGACCTGTCCCCACTATAGTTTGAGGGTTTTCTTGGTCACTAACTTTAGTGGTAGCAAAGGAAAAGCACAGACTAAAAGGCTGTGCTTATAGATGTTCCTGGATTTGTAAGATGCTGGAGCCATGTCTACTGGTAATTTCTCAGGGAACTGCATGAGGTAAATGAGTCACAATGTGAGAAACTATCCAATATGGTTGCTTCAGCAATTTTTCAGTTATAAAAGCCAGGTCTAAGCAACCATAATCACAATTCTACCAGACTGTAGATCCATATACATGGTTGTGGCTTTTCAAGTTTTTGTCTGAATTGTGTGATTTTTGCTAGGCTAAGTAAATGAGAAGATAGCCAACTCTGCAGTTTTAAATAAGTGAATGTACTGGTGTAAATACCCAATTTCAGAATGCTGGATACAACTAAAGGTCACATGTACACATGGCCGTATTACTCAACAACTGAAATAATAGCTCATGAAATGACTCTTCTAACTCCAATTATTCACTTCCTTCTTTCTCCCTCTAACAGCGGTGACACTATACATTGCATGGTTATTATTTCACTCCTCATATGAACCTTTGGCCTACTGACTTATCCCTTGAGGCATGCTATAATCACTAAGAAATGTTATCCCTGTCACGTCTTATTGCTTAATTATGGCTCTATTTTAGGCTCCTGAATCACTGGGCTTGGAAAGTCCCCACGTATCTTGGAGCCCGCACTGTCTGTTCCATTTACATCGCATTCTGACTTAGGCAACACTTATTGCCTCTTGGTTCAACACACCTTGAATAATTGTAATGAGCTCTCACATTTATGTTATTCTCCACCTAAGAAAATAGTACCAACACTTTGTCAGAAAGGTCTGTCCTTGAAGTTAATTTTTCCAATACTTGACGGAGTTTTGCATTGATGATTCCCAGGGGGCCCCCTATTTTAAATCAATGACATGCAAAACCTTCCCCTTTCCAATTCACTCTGGCTCTGGTGACTACACATTTTAAGATCTACACATATTGTCTAACAATATGTTTTGGTTGTAAATATTTTGCACCCCGGGGCTAAAGGAACACCGGAAAAGATGGAAGGTCCTGGATTGCAAAACAACTAGATGGAGGATTTGAAATGAGGAACGTTCCAAAAATGTGGGACTTCTGGAGCAAGCATTCATGTGTAGTGTACCAATCACTGATTTTGCTTCCTACAAATAAGACATTATGCTGAGCATCAGTCTTTGAGTGCAAATCTTATTCCCTCAACTAGATAGACTATAAGCTTCTTAAGGACAAAAGGCACAGATCACATGCCTCTTACATAGCTCTGTCCTTACAAGGAGCTATATACTCAGTTGTTTGATTAACTACCTATATAAAGGATATTGTATTTTCAGGACAGCTGTTTGGGATTAGGAGCCTGCAAAAGGAACCAACATTAAGGTAAAGGCAGACTGGACAACAGTGTCCTGTCTCATCCCTCTAGAGAGCAGTGCAAATCAGGCTCAGGTAGATCTACATTGAGGAGTATAATTACCCTGATCCAGAGTGGCCCCAGGTCTTGTCTGGCAGACTGAGTTATATCTATCAGGGCCTTTGAAAAGGCTGACTTGGCTCCTTAGAAATACAAAACCCAAAACATCATTTATAAAGGTCACCGGGAATGGCCTGGGTCAGAATAACTTGAGTCTGTTTTGTGCCAGTGCCACAGAAAGGGAAGTGCCTAAATACTCAGATAAGCTTCTTGAGTGCAAACAAAGAATGAGGGAGGTTTATAGCTGAATTTTTACTCTCTAATTCAAATGCCAATCCAGCAATGAAATATGCTGTAGAAATTCCAATCAGAGATTATCATCTGACTTGGAAACCAGCTGTTCTATGAGTACAAAGACTTACCACCTGCAAGTGCTGTAATTCACAGAATTATGCAGAGGTGAAAAACTTGAGAAAAACTCAAGTTTTTATTTAAATGCAATAAGAACCATTCTTTAGGAAATTCTGCTTCTATAAATCCTACAAAATCAGCTCTAATTTAAAGAAACTAGGAGGGAATGAAGGTATAAAAATCCTAAAATTCAGGAATTCATGTTTACCCAGGCAAAAGCTTGTTTTACAGTAATAAGTGAAAATTATTACACTTTGGTAAAGATTATATTTTAAAGAGAACAAGTTAGATAACACAAATGAGTTGGTTCCTAATTACTTTTCACAACATGAAGGGCCTATACAGCTTAGTTCTTCTATTGAGAAGAAGCAAGAAGTGTAACACAGAGAGGGGCAGCTCTACAGTGTTCAGACTCCCAGTAGTAATTCTGAACCAATAATTTCCTTCATAGAAATTAACAATCATTTGTGAATGTCTATATCAAAACCTTTAAGATGTACTGCATTTCATTTTAAAAGCTGTCAGGGTCATCCTGGAAAAGCCCGTGCATATGGTCCTCATACCAGAAACCCCCACTTCTCCTTCATTTGTTCTCATTCCTCCCACACATGGGACACAGCTGCCTCTGCATAAAACTGATGCAATATAATTTTGTCACTTATATCATCACCTGAGCACTCCGATACCACCCTAGGAAAGCCAAGTAAGATAACATTTTTTCAAAATACTGGTTTCAGTGGTCCTTTTATAGCCGTATTTAAAAGCATTTGACACACACACAATCTCTCAATGGATTAAAAAGCAAAATTTTCAAGTGGAGGGATGCAGTGCAGTAAACTTCACAGCCTGGAAAATGTATGAGATACATCTGGAATATAGAACTGCAACTTTACCAGCACTTTAATTTTAAAATGAGCCAGTTGGCTGGCTGGTCAAAAAACAGTGAGGGCAATCTCTGACCCTCAAATTCCTCACTTAAAATAAGATGATTAAATTATGATCTTTGAGGTCTCATCCAACTTATTTTTTTATTGGTTCTCATTCTTCATATAACTACTCAGACTTTACGATCGTATGCCCCTGAGCCGGGTTCGATGGCTCAGCCTGTAATCCCGAGCCTTTGGGAGGCTGAGGTGAGTGGATTACCTGGGCAACTTGGCGAGACCTCCTCTCTACAATAAATCAAAAATTAGTCAGACCCACCTGGGCAACTTGGCGAGACCTCATCTCTACAATAAATTAAAAATCAGCCGGGTGTGGTAGCGCGCGCCTGTAGTTCCAGCTACTTGGAAGGCTGAGGCGGAAGGATCGCCGGAGCCCAGCAGGTCGAGGCTGCAGTGGCCGGGAGCGGTCACTGCACTCCAGTCTGGGCGACTGAGTGAGACTCCAACTCAAAAAAAAAAAGATGGTATATCCCTGTATTTAACCAATACTGAAAAAATTCACTCATTAATTTTCCTTCACAGAGGCTCATACAAAAATAGATAACCATCTTTCACAAGGATATCCAAGATGCCACACAGTTTAAGAATACATGTTAAACGTTGACACTTTTAAAAAAGGTAAATGAAATCCATGCTATAAATCTCCATGAGATTTGTTTATTCCTTAGAAAAGTAAGAATATTTTGGACAATGAAACTTTCAATTTTTACATATGTCACCCATAAATAAAAACACAATTATCTACATAAATGCTTGTTTAGAAGTCAGTAATGGAAAGTTATACTTTCAACTCAAATTACATATAAATGTAAAGCTCATCTATATTACCAGATGATAATACCCTCAAACAAACCCATTTAAGAGTATGATGTCCCTAAGTTTTTCGGAAACTCTTAAGTTTGATGAAAGTTATTTTTTTAAAGACTTAAAATGAAGTACTTTTACTTTTTGGAATTTCTGATAAATAGATCATAATTTAGTGTGACAGTCACAGATTCTGTGACAAAACTACAGTATTTACTTATACATTCACATATAGCACAATGTAGTGATCAAGTATTGGTAATAAGCAATTAACAAAATTATTAAATAAGAAAATCAGTATCTTAACAATTCAAATGCTTTATGATAGGATAGTTTATGTCCAACACATAAAACACATATTGACAGATTATTTCAGAAAAAATACATCAGTTTTTTACATCATCAAAGTAGCAATATGATTTTCTAAATTATTTTCAGTCTCATTTTAGAAATGCTTTTATTTTCTAAATTTTATCAATCACTGATTTAAAAAAGTATACTATATTAGTAGTAAAATTAATATATAGTATGTTTATATGTACAAGTGTGTGCATCAACTAACCAAAACTCAAATTGTAAAATAAAACCATTTAAAGGCAAATTGAAAACAAAAGTAAAGTTTGTTTATTAGTTGCCTGGTTTTTTTTTTTACATAAAGTGCAATTTCCAAGTTGTATTTTTCAACTCTATTACGATCCAGATAGATAATTCAATGTGCAACTTTTGGTTTTCTTCTCTGTGTCTTTCTCTTTTTCCCATAGTAATTTTTATGTCTTTTTACTGACTACATAAAACAGGACTTCCATTCTCAACATTTCTTCCAGGAAAAGTTAAGTGAGTTTAATTAGATATTAAATATCATTTTTCATTCTACCTTCTATATTTACCTGGCATAAAAACACGCTAGTCAGGTAGTTTTTCGTTCATCCATTTAAGTCACTTACTTTCACCCAGAAATAAGAGTAAAAGCAACACTGAAAGAACTGGTCCAAAATCATGGTGAAACATATCTCTTAGAAATAACATTATCATAACTTGGGACTTTAGAATGATCAAATATGTTAACCTACTAAAACTAATCATGAATTCAAGAATTAACAATGTTTTAAAGAGGAATTTTTATCAGAGATCAGGGTATAATCTACAGCAGAAAGTACACTTTGCTGAATACCATCCATATTTGTTTAAAGAATACTGGCCCTTCATGTAGCTAGAGCAGCTGAAATGTCTTTAACTTCTTGATGGGGGTAGTCTGGACTAAGATGGGGGATGCTATTGGAATGTTCACGCTGTTCATCTACCATTGAGGAAACAGCCTGTTCTTGATGCTTTTTGTTCTCTTGAGTAAATCCTAACACCACACTCTCCCCAGCAGGCTGACCCAGCCTGGTTTGTTTCCCGGCACCTGCCTCATGTTCCTGCAGCAATCTATCTACTTCCACCTCAAGCTCCAGAGTTTCCTCATCAGCTTGTACGTCCAGTTGATGCATAAGCTCCTCCAACTTCTGGGCCTTTCGGAGCTCATTTTGCTGTATGATTGTACAAAGGTGTTCCGTGAGCTGTTCTTTTATCTCTGTCTTGCGCTGTAGATCTAGCTTTGCAGTAATGTACTCTGCTTCAGCTCTGTCAAACCGCTTCCTGTAAGGACAGGTACAGAGATTGGTCCATTCATTTTCTATTGAATAAGATTTTCAAAGAGGGTCTAGAGATGATAATTAAATTACAAAATTGGGAACAAATATATAACAAAGATATAGATATTAATACTTTACAAACACTTGGCTACACATTAGATAAACTAGGCTGCTAAAACTGTCACAACACCCTTATTTGGAATCACCTGATATAACAACATTCTTCTGCACTCATTTCTTCTTTCCAAAGCTGTACTAGAGTAGAGTAAAGGCAGGCTAAAAGTATTAATTCAGTGGTGTGCTAGCTCTGGGGTGGGGGATAGGGTAGGGCCTTGAGGAACCCTAATTTGTAGCGTTTACCAGTTTCCCTGGCCAATTTCAAGCTACTAGTGTGACATTACTGAATGCAGAATCAAGAAGAGATACAAAATCTGCATGAGCCAGTACAAGCTAGCTCCAGCATGTAGCTGGTTAAATTTATGAGAAGCAGAACAAGAGATGGAGAAAATGGAAATGCTGCATCTCTTGATTTAAGGGACTGGAAAATTTTGGTCAAGGAAGATAGGTAGATGAATACAAATGGGACAGAAGACACCCAACAAAATGACACTGGGTAAAGGCAAGAAGTAAACATCAGGTGGAACAGACAATTTCAGGACAGCCACAGGCAGGACTTCTCACTCTTGGCTCTACCAACAATGTGAGCCATGGAATTCTTAGTGAGGAGCTGTCCTATATACTGTAGGGTGCTAAATGGCATCACTGGCTCCTATCCACTGATTGCTAGTACTACCCCAAAACTGTGACAACCAAAAATGTCTCCATACATTGCCAAATGTCTCTTAAGAGACAACAATACTCCCAGTTGAGAATCCCTGGGTTAAGTTGTTCTCACCCTCTCACTACTACTATGACACCTTGACTAGGAGATTTTAGACTCTCTATATAAACTCTATGTTGATACATAATGTCAGTCTCATGTGAAGTAGGGCAATTCTGCTGGAGAAATCACCTTGCAATCGACCTTTTTTTTCGTCTGTATTAGGTCAGTATGAAAAGAAAAGCTATATCTTTGTTCATTGTCTTTTGTTTTTCCCATATGATTTGATTCTTTTCTTTTTGCAACAAGAAATAAAGATTTCTTCCTCTCTTGCAAGAAAAAAAAAGGTTAGTTTCCATTTACTAATTAGTTTCTCAATTTAACTAACATTAAAAGCTGTGAAGGCCATGTTGCCTTATCAATTATGACTGTCTATGTCAACTCAATGTAATAAGTAGCTACTAGTGCAAGTGTTACAGGAAAAAATAAACACGTATGTCTCCTGATCTAAGATTCTCTGCCTTGGGGAAAAAAAATAGTGGGGGGAAAAAAATTTCATTTTAGAGAACCCAGAGTTCAAAACCTTCTTCTGTCATTCACTGTGAATACCTGCTTTGGTCAAAGCTTTTTGTGGATACAAAGAGGAGATACCCAAACTAGCTCAGGTTAAAAAAAAAAAAGAAAAAAGTTTTCCTGTAGGATACAAGAAGCAATTTCATAGACATGTCATTAGAATCAAAGGCTTTTCTCTTTAATGCTTAGAAGCCACAGTTTCTCTCCTTCAGTTTTCCTATCATACTCACGGCCCTGTATGGCCACCAGCTGCACTCTACATCAAATTCACTCCACTCAATTTCTTAGTGATCCAATTCCATAATTTCTGAGGGAGAACCCGGGCTGGCCTGGCTCATCTCAGTTTGAACAGAGTTCTTACTGTCAGGTCATGCCAGGAGCCCCTCTTTAGTTTACAGATAAAATGTACTGGAGTCAGCAGCCCACTCTTGTTCTAATCAGGTAGAGCCCAGGGACAGCATGATGAGCACAAACCACAGCCAGGTTCCTGTGGAAGGGGCTGGGGAACGGGCATGCAATCATGAAAAACTCCAGTACAGTGACTCTAAGCAGATCCTTCAGCTGAGCCTTGGTCTATCTCTAAAACAGTGATGATAATACCTCACAGGAGTGTTAAGGATTATAAACTGAGAAAGAGTCTAGCCCAGTGCTAGATGTTCAAGAAACAGAACTTCCCCTTTAGAGCACCAGAATCAAAGAACACTTAGTATATTAGTAAGCATGTATCTAAATTAAGATTATGCTAAATGTAGGGACCTAGCATTTATACTTGAAAACTCTTATTTACATGATGCTCAGCTATCATATTTCATTTTTTTGTGTCACCTAGTAAATGTAAGAATGAGAAAACCAGTTATCTCTTGCTAACCCCCTATGTTAAAACAATTATTTTAAAGGAACTGTTGGATACCTGGTTCTCTTATTTCCATACCTTATAACAAAACCTGTATATGAATGCTCATGCATCATACCAAGAGTTCAGACAACATTCTCGATAGGTATATGAATACCCTGCCCCGTCCCCCACTCAAACCTCCCTTCTCCTGCAGTCTCCTTCAGCCAAAGTCAGTTAGTAGAGATTTACACCCCAGGCTCATGAATCATGAATACGGAATTGAAATTAACATTTGCAAATAGGTCCCTAGGTTTCCACTGATCTTTCACCCTGGAAAAATCACTGATGATTTTGTATTTTGTTTATTTATTTAGACTTATGTTTAAAATATTGATGAGTTTCACAAACTGCATACCAGCCTATGGTCTGATTTTTGGATACATACATGATGACATACTCTGGAACAAAATAAGAGCACTTTACATAACACAGTAAGACACAGTGACTGGAAAAGTAATTATATAATTGTTTTGTTATTTTAAAGAAACATTGACTAATTTAATGAGTGGTCAAAGAATTCTAGAAACTGTCTCTTAGTTTTGGTATCCCTGAAATTTAAAAAAAACAAAACAAAAAAAACTCAATCATTAACCCTCAGTATACCATCAGGTTCCTTGGGATCCACTTTTAGCTTTTCAGTTCCTTTTCTGAGCAGTTCTATTTGTGTGAATTAACATATTATAGTTTTTATCCTTTTTTTAGAAGTCTTTTAATAATAAAGAGAGAATTTACTTATTTGAAAAAAAGAATAAAATGAATTCCATTTTTTAATTACTAAATGGGTCCAATGGACCCTTTTATAAATCTAAGATGCATTATGGCATCATAGTTACATTATTATTTTTCCTATATCTTAAAACATTTTGCCATTTCATCACAATAGGAATTACTTCATTATTACTCATCAATTACTCTCATTTATGCTAAGAAAAATGATGGAATGATCTAAAAGAATGATGCAATAATAAAACAAATTATCATGCTGAGCTTCCTTTTCTATATTGTCCAAAGTATTAAGTCACCTCCAGAAAATATAAAAAAAGACTGAAAACACCATCTTTGTAACCTGTTTTTAGTTTTCATTGAATACAGTTGAGAATTAAAATTTTTTTCATTTTTCAGCCTATCTGGTATTAGCAAAGTAGGGAAAACTTTTTTGCCATTGTTAGAGAAATCAAAAGATGAATGCTGTGGAAGGCTAAAAAATGACAGCCCCAAGATATTCACTTCCTAATCCCTGGAACCTGTAAATATTACTGCATAGGACAAAAGTGTCAAAATTATCTTATGATATAGCAAAAGATATGATTAAGATAAGAGTTTTGAGAGAAGTTTATTCTAGATTCTTCATTTGGGGCCTAAGTACAATCACAGGTATCTTTTTAAAAGAGAGGCAGAAGAAGTTTTGAGGGAGAAGAGCAGGAATCAATGTGATCATGGAGGCATAAAATGGAATGGTGTGGCCATAAGACAAGGAATGCCCACAGCTGGAAGAGGCTAGAAATGGATCCCGAGATTCTCTGAAGTAATCAATCTGCAAATACCTTGATTTTAGGTGTTTGGCCTCCAGAAATGTGAGAGAAGAAATTTCTGTCGTTTTAAGTCACCCAGTTTGTGGCAATTTGTTATGGCAGTTCTTTTTTTTTTGAGTTGGAGTCTCACTCTGTCGCCCAGACTGGAGTGCAGTGGCCGCTCCCGGCCACTGCAGGCTCAACCTGCTGGGCTCCGGTGATCCTTCTGCCTCAGCCTTCCAAGTAGCTGGAACTGCAGGCGCGCGCTACCATGCTTGGCTGGTTTTTTTGATTTATTGTAGAGATGAGGTCTCACCAATTTGCCCAGGTGGGTCTCGAACCCGCGGGCTCAGGCAATCCACTCACTTCAGCCTCCCAAAGCACGGGATTACAGGCTGAGCCACCAAGCCTGGCTTCTTATGGCAGTTCTAGGAAATTAATACAAATGCAGAGACACACACTCTAGAGTCTAGACCATAAAACTTATTATATAAGTAAAATCTCAAACTCCTAGCCTTCAGGAAAACACATCCTAGGTGAATTTCTCAAACTCAAGAATCTGCGAGGTGTGGTGGCTCACACCTGCAATCCTAGCACTTTGGGAAGCGTAAGTAAGAGGACTGCCTGAGTTCAGGGGTTTGAGACCAGCCTGAGCAACATCGCGAGATCTTATCTCTACGATAAGTCAAAAAAATTTGTTGGGTGTGGTGGTGCATGTCTGTGGTTGCAAATACTTAGAAGGTTGAGATGGAACGATCACCTGAGCCTAGCAGGTTGAGGCTGCAGATGACCGCTGCACTCCAGCCTGGGTGACATTGAGACTCTGACTCAAAAAAAAAAAGAACAAGTGGGTAAAAAATATATTTCTAAAAATAAAAAGGAAATACAATATTCTCATAGAGCTAATCATTTCAACAGGAAGTAACTATAGTCTCTCAGTTTTTTATGCTTGTGAGTCAAACATTACTTGATACAGAGGTTTACTATGCTTATATTCTTATTAAAATATTATATTTATTTACTCATTTATGAGACAGAGTCTCACTCTATCTCCCAGGCTGGAGTGCAGTTGCACGCTCACGGCCACTGCAGCCTTGACCTGCTGGGCTCAAGTGATCCTTCTACCTCAGTCTTCCAAGTAGCTGGGACTAGAGGTGCCAGTCACCACACTCGCCTAATTTTTGGAATTACTGTAGAGATGAGGTCTCACCATGTTGTCCAGGCTGATCTCAAGCCCCTGGGCTTAGACAATCCTCTCGACTGAGCCTCCCAAAGTGCTGAGATTATAAGTATGAGCCATGGCAACCAGCTATATTCCTATTAAATTTTAAAAATATAATTGTTTTACAATCCCTTTTATTCTTACTTCTGTAAATTGTTCACAAAATGATTAAAAATATTTGCCTGTATATGTCTGTGTAGGAGGGTGTCTATAACACCTAGATGGTAAACAGTGATTTTTAAAATGTTCTGTATGCAGCCATTCTCAGTCTTACAAGCTGGTCTGCACACATATGGCAACACCATAATCACAGTGGAGAGTGGGAGCTGCAGCTCTCTCAAGTGCTCCAAGTGCTGGGCTTTTCAGGTTTCTATCCCACAGTGCCCTACAGAAGCCAATTGGAAAGCACATTCTGGCCTATTCACCACCTAAGAACTTTTGTGGACATAGTAGCACCGTACAAAGCATTACAGAACTATGATACTGTTTTTTATTAACAGAACAAAAATCAAGAAACTCTTCTACAGAATCTGACTGCCCTGGGGATTATCTTCTAGTAAAAATCTGGCCTACAATATTATATTACAAATCTATAATTTATCAATAAGCACAATAGAATTTTAGAAAATGTTATCTTAATCTCATACATGAACAAAACCCTGGTTCTAGTACAAATGTCTACAGCTTCTCTTTGACCTAAGGGCTTAGGCTTTAAAAACATCCTCACTGTTCTCAGATATAAATGGAAGCTAAACAATGGGAACATATGGACATAAAGATGGAAGTAATTGATGCTGAGGATCCTAAAAGGAGGCGAGGGTTGAAAATTCACCTATTGTGTACAATGTTCACTATCTGGGTAATAGGTATACCAGTAGGCAATATACTCATGTAACAAACATGCATATACACCATTTGAATCTAAAATAAAACTAAAAAAATGGTCTCATATAACATCTACTTACAATTATGTCAATATTAGTGCCATGAGAAACTGTTATCCTTAGCCTATTAAAGATGTAAATATTTACTAAAATTTCATTAAGAATGTTTATATGTTATAAAATGTTTTCTCCTTTAACTAGTCCCACATTCTTTGTGGTTCTTTAAAGGCTAAAACTATGACATTTCTTATATAATATCTAATATGAAAGGGCATCCTTCTCCTAGTAGACTGTCCTCTACTAGAACAGAATTAAACCATAATCAGATCATTTTTCTGTTGAGGTCACCAGTACTATATCTTTATAAAAGGAATTATTAATTTAAAAAAGGCTATAAAGGCATAACAACGCTCCTCTGGCAAATTTCTGTAAGACTAAAATCAAGGTTTAGTTTAAATCTTAATAAAATCCTGGTTACCTCCTAATGACTTTTTTAATAGAAATCTGGAACCTCTCGTTATCAGCTACCAATGGCATTAATTTAAGCAGTTAATTAATAAAGACAACCCATTAAGTCTAATGGCATACACTCACACAACAATTACACAAACACAAGGAGAACCACAAACTTCTTTCTTAAACACTAAACAGTGAATTAACAACCACAATCAAGCATTTCCGCTTTATAAATTATTATATAAACATTCTGAAGTTGTGGTTTACCCTGGACTAATGAGGCATTCTGATTGATTTCTAGTGTTACAGAGAAAGATGCAAAACTGAGTCATTAACACAGCATTCCCTTGTTAAAAAAAGGCAAACCAAGATGATTAAAGCAATGTTGAAAGGACTGAAAACCCTGAAATTGGACATAATTTTTTGCTCTTTTATCTGTCTGCAAAGTCCATGTAATTCTTTACATGTGTTAGTTCATTTAAAGAATACTCTATGATGATTATTTTTCTCTTTAAGAAAATGCCAATCATTAAAACCAAGGAAACATGACACCAAACCATTTCGTACAGAGCGCAATCATAAAGAAAAAAAATAAGAGAAAAAAATGTCAAGTTTCCAAGGTATTTTCTTTAAAATAAGCTTTTTAAAAAATAAACTAGATCCCCTTACTTTGATGAAAACTGAAGTGAGAAATAGGCTTCAGTTCCATAAGGACCAAATCAGAGAATCAAAAATTTTAATGTAAAGAACACAGACTTGGTGTTAGAATAATAGAGTTTGGGGCCAGTCTCTCAGACATTTACTTTGCTAGATCGTGAAAGATTAATAAAAAGAGTTCCAAACATCAAATAGCTGATGGTTTAGCAGTAAAGACTAAAATGTAAATAAATAATGTAAGAACTGTTCTAACAGGCATATGAACGAGGTTAACTGTAGGGCAGTTAAGGAAGACATCACAGAAGAAGAGACATCTGAGTCAGCACAAAAGAAGAATAAATGCAGCCCCTAACGGGGTTATGAAACTTAAATGATAGACTCAGAAGCTCTCAGACCAGTTAGTAATACATTAAATCACATTCCTTGCTCAGAGTTCAATTTCCCCAACTCACCGAGCATATGAATAGTCTATGCTGGCCTGATCAATCCGGTTCCTGAGGATTCCAATGTCAGCAGACACCATGTCATCTAAAGCCTGCAACTCCTTCTGGATTCGCTTTAGTTTCATGGTCTCTGCTTGAGTTCTTTTGGATCTAGAATACAAATACATATACAAAATCATATACAAGGGAAAAAGCAAGATATTGTGTATATTATTAATCTTTTACTTAGAAAAATCTTTTACTTATAATTAATCTTTTGCTTAGAAAAAATACAAAAATGAAATAAAATAGATGCTGATAACATTTGAACTTTTTAATCCTTATTTTTCCAAATTTTCTATTAGCACATATTTTCACAAACAAGGTAACAAGTCTTCAAAAAAAAAATTCCAATAGATAGTTCACTTGTAGATCTCTATTTCCATTCTGCTCCTGCTACTCCACATACAGTAGACTCAAATAATAATAGTTTGCCAGATTTTTTTGGAAGTCTAAAAAGAAAATGTCACTGAATACTTGCTTACATTTAATTTTCACTATTCTCAGTCACTGCTTTATTGACTAAGCTTTCTTTCATGGCAGGTGAAAGGAAATGAAATCTCACCCATTTTAATTTGTCTGATACTCGCCTGATATCAAGAACAGATGTCAGCATTAAAAAACATTTCTTTATATGTCTGAAAACATCTTTTTAGTTTTAACTTGCTTAGGACACATTTCACCAAACTTTTACTGCTTTGATTCTTGTGCTCTTAGGCAAAACTATAGGTCCTCAATTTTTTGTGGGGCTCAAAAACCAAACCACTCTTTTTCGACCTTGCTTGAAAGCATATCTAACCTCACCATTTCTTAGTATGTTCACCAGTTCCAAGTACAATACACACTTGAGAAATGGAACAGCTGGGTGTGGTGGCTCACACCTATAATCCCAGCACTTTGGGAGGTGGAGGAAAGAGGATTGCCAAGCCCACGGGTTTGAGACCAGGCTGAGCAACTTGGCAAGACCTTGTCTCCACAATAAATCAGAAAATTAGCTGGGTGTGTGGTGGTGCTTGCCTGTAGTTCCAACTACTTGGAAGGCTGAGGTGGAAGGATCACCTGAGCCCAGCAGGTCAAGGCAGTGATGGCTATGAGTGAGCCATTGCACTCCAGTCTGGGCGACAGAGTGAGACTACAACTAAAAAAAAAAAAAAGAAAAAAAGAAATGAAACAAATACAAAAGCAAACCTTTCATCATGATTTCACTCAGTTCAAATTTTTACTCATTCTCAAGGAAGAAAATGTCCCACATAAAACTGCTACCACTTGAATTTTCTTGATTTCTGCTTCATCATGCATTTACCTTTCCTTTCCTACAAAAGTTCACTCACCAGTAAAATTCTTTCACTTCAAGTACTTCACTGTCCATTTATTAGTAATCCAAACATGATGTATTTTCTTAGACTTCTGTCTGTATCAGCGCTTTCTGCCTTCAATCAAAAGCACTTAAGAAATGCTAAAGCTGTAACTATTTTTGTAAAGTCTCCAGTAAACAGCCTCCTCACCTCTTCTAAAGTGAAGACTACTAAATTGTTCCACATTTTTTTTGGTTTGTTTGTTTGTTTTTTTGAGTTGGAGTCTCATTCTGTCATGCAGACTGGAGTGCAGTGGCCACTCCCGGCCACCGCAGCCTCGACCTGCTGGGCTCAGGCGATCCTTCCACCTCAGCCTTCCGAGTAGCCGGAATTACAGGCATGTGCTACCACGCCCGGCTGATTTTTTGATTTAT